TTTGTCACATTTTCCCTGTGAGATTTTTTTTCTTTTTTTATTTGGTGAGGGAGATTGGCCCTGAGCTAACATCTGTTGCCAGTCTTCCTCTTTTTGCTGAGGAAGATTGACTCTGAGCTAACATCTGTGCCCGTCTTCCTCTAATTTGTATGTGAGATGCTGCCACAGCACGGCTTGATGGGCCGTGCGTCAGTCAGCGCCAGGATTCGAACCTGTGAACTCCAGGCCACAGAACTGGAGGGCGTGAACCCAACCACTACGCCACCAGGCCAGCTCCCTCTGTGAGATTTTAAGCAAGATATTTTATCTCTTTGAGCCTCAATTTATTCATCTTTAAAATTGGAGTAATAATAATGTCAATCACAGGAGATGATATGGGGATTTAAAACAGCTAACGAATGTGAGAGAACTTTGTTTACTATACACTTTAATGAGGGTTTATTGCATTAGACGGGCCTTTTTTGGTTTCAAGTGGCAAGACACCTATTATTCTAACTGAAACGAAACAGAATATGCATCACAGGTCTAAACGCAGCACGTCTGGATCTGACGCTTGCCTTGACTCTATTTCTCCGTGCGTCTTGCCTCTCTTCTTAGCCATGTTGTGCTGCTTCACATGTGCTCTCCCCACACAGAGGACAAGGTATTAGCTGACATGCTTACAGCTTGAGATCTAACAGGAAGAAAGACCCTCTCTCACCATGTGTTTAGGTGGTACATTTCAAGAAAAGGTTCTGATTGGCTATAGTTAAGTAATGTGTCCAGTTCTTTGGCTGATTTCTGCACACAGCCTGGGTCACATGGCTGTGGTTAAGGGAAAGGATCCCAGAGTCACATGGGATGAGGAAAGGGCAATTTGCTCTGCAAAGTGGGGTGCTGAGCAGAGACAGTTGCCGCTATAACTCTGCAACTAGTGGGTATTAAAATCTACCGCATAGCTTTCCCTTACTTCTTTAGCCCTCATCATTCTTTGTTCCCATTGGTGGCATTCAACACTAATCTACCAAACACTTATTGAGCTCCTACTCACTGCCAGTGATGCCGAGTTCTGGGAAAACAAAGATGAAAAGACCTGGCCCTCGATAGCTCACTGCCTAGTTAGGGAGACCCTGCTGATACAGTGTGACCTCTGCTATATTAGAGGAATGCACAGAGTGCAATGAAATACCACCTAGTGTAGTGTGGGGCTGGGTCAAGGGAGGTGTGGCAGATTGGGCCATGCTTCCAAAAGGACCTGTGCGTAAAATGAATCTTGAAGGATGAATAAGAATTAGCCAGGCAAAAATGGTGAGAAAGAACATTACTGTTCAGTTTAACCAATGGTATTCTTCGCTATGTAATTTAGCCTTCTCCAATTTTGATTGCAAGTTTCTTGATCGTTATCACATCTTATAATTCTTCTATTCTATTGACAATGCTTACACAGTGCTAACTTCCTTATTGACTCTTGCTGTCTAATATATTTGATGTTGGTAATTATTTATTTCATCACTGACCATCTGGAACATGTTTTTTTCTCTTTAGGAAAATGAACTTAATCATTAATAGTAATGGAATGGCATATAAAACAGAGTGTCAGTTTTCCTGGAGAACTTTTCAGATTTCACCAAGTTTTTATTTTTTTCACTCAAGGATCTTAATGCTGCTATAGTAGCACCATTTCATACAATTTAAGAACCTATAGCCATTCACACATGACAACTCCAAAGCGATGCCTCCTCTGAGCCACCCCTCAACTGAAAAGGTAAAATCTAATTTTGCCAACTGCTTTGATCAAACTTTTGTTCAAAAAAATATATTAACTTAGGAAAATAACATCATATAGCTATGCTATGCCAGTAAAAATACCACTATGTCCAGAAAATATACTCGTGGGTGGCATGATTTGCCTAGAACACCTAATTAAATTTTCTCTTCCCTCCCCCCACTGACACATTCACATTCACCGATTTGTTGCTGGTAATAAACGTGTCTCCAAAACCACTGATCTCGGATTCAATTCACGTGCAAGACTTAGATGCAAGAAAAACAATACTCACTTTGAGTGAACCCAGAGTCAGTTTTTTCTCTCTGTGTATGTTTATCTATCTACATTTGGTGTGAGTGGCTTTAGATATGTGCATACATAGGCTGACCAAAATATTTATTCTTAATATATTGGATAGTAGGGATATTTTTATATTTAAATATATCAATTGACTAAACCCCCACATGTGGTTTGGGGAATACAGATATTTTCTCTGTGAGTGTGAGGTAATTCTCACTTTTTTTGGAATTTGGATATGAGAAGAGAATGAGCAATAGTGACATGACATCTCTGGAAACTGTCTGGCAGCATTTACATTTTCCAGGCCTGCTTTACCAATTCCACTTCTAATCCTGTGAAATTTGTTTTATGCACTTATTTTTCATACAGAGAAATATGGACACAATCATATTCATTGACTCCAAGAAGTCATTGGTAGAAAAATCTTTCTTTGAAATCCTCATTCAGTTCAATTACATTCATGATATTTTTGGAAATGTTAAAGGGGATTTTTTTTTTAACATGTATTTCCCTTCTCTGGGGCAAATAGGTGGTCCAGTGGTCTTTCCTTGAGTGGAATGTGCAAGCAGAGTGACATTGGCCTATATAATATGAGGACAAGGAAACCTGAAAAAATAAAATGAAGTGTCCTTGATAAGAAAAGACAGAGTGTACACAACCGTGGGGCCCAAACAGGACAAGCAAAAGGACCACTTCTAAGGTAGGAGGACAGCCTCAGGTTCAGGTTTTTAGGTTGCTGGAGTGTCCCTGAATCAAGAGAAAGGTGTTAAGAATACTCTCGCAGTATAGAATTTTTTCATGAATTGTGTGAGGTCAGGTTTCTTCACATTGATGAATGCTTCTAATATACTTGGCATCATTCTCAAGAGAGGAGGCCTGTTCCCACAATTGCGTCTCTAGACCAGGCTTTTCCCAGTGGGAGAGGCAGTAGCCAGCCATGAAATCACAGGATGTTTTACAGAGTTCCCTGAATTAGACCTCCAGGAAAGGGTACTGGCACTCAGAGTGAAGAGTAGGGTCTCTGTGGGCTGAGAGCAACAGAGTTGAAATATCTAATGGATGCCGTTGGACGGAGGTTGAAGAAGTCAGAAAACAATGGGAGAATGACCTCCATCATGATGAAAAAGCCCTGGGAGCCATTTTCCTGTTTCTCACTGGTCAGATTATACATGTAATGTAAAGAGCGTCAGATGATACCTTTCACATAGATGTCTTCCTATTGGCCTTATGCCAGTCAGTGTGCTTATTATATGGTGTTTGCCCTCATCCCTACCCATTGTACAAAAATAATTCTGAGTAACCTATATTTTGCTTGGGTTTTGATTAGCTGTCAATATTTTAGGGCTCATAGGGAAGTTGCATGGGGTAGAAAAAGTAAGTGTGATTAAAGGGGGATATTTTAGATGGAGAAGGGCAGCAACACAAGGCTAGAAAGGTAAAACAGTTGTGCTGTTGACACCTTTCTGCACAGTCATGGAGTTATCTGTTTAGTCATCTGTCTGTGGATTGTGGGCAGTAGAATGTGGACTTGGACTTGGAGAATATGAACTTCCTCCAAATCTAGGAGCCCGTTGAGACCTGTGGTTGGGGAACTGATGATTGTAAAAATGGTTCATGTCCTAGATAGGGACTGTGTGAGTTTATAGTAGCCTTCTCAGAAGGAGTGGCTCATGAACCTTTACTTAAGTTTGTGTCTTGGCTAGAAGCTTGGAAAGGAAATGTGCCTGATTTGGGAGCATACAGGCACCAGGTTCTTGGAACCAATTTAATTGCAGTCTTCCTCACAAACATATAACAGTTCTTGGCACATATGTATTTGTTGAATTCTATTAAAATTAAGTTGAAACCCAGATATTTTACTCTAAATCTTATGTTTATTCCAGCACCAATTCTAGAGGCTCAAATGATGCTTTTAATCACTCTTTCCATTCACGTCTCATATTTACTTGTCTATGAAACTCTTTGTAAATTGGTCTAATTTCCTCTTATTATCTTATAGCTGGGTGAGATGTCAGCAAGGATCTCCATGCTTATTCCTTTCAGCATATTAGCCCCATGAGAAAGAGAACCTTCCCTGCTATCTCTAAAGAATCTTTCTGAGGAGATCTCTGTTTAGATAGACTTGGGCCAATGGCCATTCCTGAACTGACCATACCATGATTGGCCAGACTTAGGTAACCTGCCCATTGCCATGGTTGCTGGGGAATAAGGGGCAGTGATTGACAGCTCTACTTAAACCTCATGGAGTAGGGGTGGAGTTCTCCAAAAGAAAGAGGTTACCGTTTCCAGTAGAAGGAGAATGATAAGTCATCTTGGGTAGATAAAACAAAAGCTACAATAGTCTACTACATATGTGTTATCCCTTAAAACTGGAAAATTTATACTTAGAATAAACAAAAGGAAACTCAGAAGTTCTCTTTATGCAAAATTCTAGTATAAGCTAATTTACTATTGTTTATTTCATCCCAGCCATTATAGACAATTGGCAATTAGTACTTTTCAAGACAATTTAAATTGGACTACAAAAAAGATAAAGCCAAACATTATAAGAATATGGAAAAGGTTAATGAAATAATGGAAAGTAAACTCAGGCTTTGAAGTTATATCATATGAAGACCCAGGATCTGGTACCCCAAAAAATATACCGAAAGAGTTGGAAATCAGGGGATGAAGCCGAGTAAGTGGCAGGATTATGACGGCAGGAAAGTCAACAACTTTTGAGTCTAAAATTTCCCTAGTTCAAGCTCTAATTAAATTTCCCTAGTTCAAGCTCTAATTATCTTCAAACTTGATAATGGAAATAGAGTTCTAAACAATCTCCTTGTGTCCAGTTTGTCCCTTGTCCAATCAATTTGTCATTGTTACCAATGCTATGATTCTTGTCAGTGCCGAGTCTGACTCCTAGTATAGTAGAGCTGAAGACTGCCTGGTCTTTTTGCCCCATCATCTCACCTTCCGACGCTGTATCAGCTAATGTTCCACTGCTATTCACAGCATTTTCATGGCCAATTTTTTCAGAAGTGGGTGGCCAGGTCCTTCTTCCTAGTCTGCCTTAGTCTGGAAGCTCTGCTGAAACGTGTCCACCATAGGTGATCATGCTGGTATTTGAAATACCGGTGGTATAGCTTTCAGTATCACAGCAACACGCAGTCACTAAACTTTGACACCCGACAGGTGGGTAGTGTGGTTCCCTGACCAGGAAAGGAACCTGGGCTACGGTGGTGAGAGCGTCAAATCTTAATCACTAGACCACCGGGGCTGGCTACCAACATTATTGATCAAATACAAATTTATGATCATTATAATGTCTTGAAAGGCTGTGGGGTTGGAAGTATTAAATACAGTGAGAAATATCAAACTGGCTTATCCTAGAAACTGACTCTGAGAGGCAGGGGAGTGACGTAAGAGAGCGCTAAAGTCAGGTAGAACATGATATTGAGACAATTGGGGTGAGACAACAAGTCTTTCTAAGGCAAGTAAATGACAGGCAGGACCATAGAGACAGCAGTATGCCCTAATAATGAAATAAAGGTGTCAATTAAGAATACTGAAACAAGAATATTGAAAACATGTGCCAGTAGGTATCAGGTATCATAACCTTATGGCCACGTGAGCATTATAGTTAATGCCTGAAATGGAGTTCATAATCCATAGAGGTTCATGGAGAGACCTGAGGGGGCCCCGGAAAAAATGATATGCAAAATTTAATGTATTTGTGGGTCATAACTTCACCAGGATTTTAATGTGCCAGATAACCCCCCAAATGTTAACACTGAGAACAAATTTCCTATTTTATTTTCTTTTAATGTATCAGAACTTATTTGATTTATTTATGGAATATTTAGAGAAAAGGACCATTCAAATTACAGGCATAACATTTGTTCAATATTTATATGTGATTTTTAACCTAGATTAAATTTTTAAAATTTTATATAATAATAATAATAATTTAATACTATGAATGTTTTTCCCATTCTAAATTTTGTTTTTATTCTCTAATTTTGGTTTATTTGGAAAAATAAATATTTTTATAAAATGCATGATTAATTGTTCCATTTGGGGAAGTTTTGTTTTTAAAAATTTTTCTCTTATACATCGTACAACAAAAATATTCTAGAAGACATATTTTTTTTATGATAGTAAGATATCATAGAGACATCTGCAACTGTTTTAGCCTTAAATTTGTTCCCACTGCTAGTTATTTTTTAGTGGCTGGGATAATAGATTCATCTTTGTGCTTTCACACTCCGATGACTAGCACAATGGTTGGCATGTAGCGGTTGTTCAATAAATATTTGTTGAACTGAATTGACATGAATCAAGTTGTAAATATTTTCTGGTCACATGAGTGAAATGAAGGAATATACAACTTTTATTGGTTGAGTTTAGGAGCTATTCTGATACTAATAATTAAACATTTACCTTTGGACCGAATTTTGAAATTTGAGTTGAGATCATTAAACACACATAACCTGTTTCTTTCTGGAATAGATGATGAAAATATTTCAGCTCCTTGCCAGTTCATTTTTGGAAAGGAAATATGTGGATATAATAAATGTAGAGAAAGCAATGTTTTACCCATTTTGAAACTATTGATTCCTAATTAAAGTATTGCATATTAAAAATCATCAGCATTTACTTACTGCAATACAATGACATGAGGCAGTATCTGGAAGACACAAGAATTCTTAAAATCAAAATGTTGTACTCTGTGGTGGATCAAAGACCATTTACCCCAAAGGGGTAAAACACTCCCCAGGTGCATTCAGTCTCATTTGTTCAAATTCTGTAGTCAACAAACAGCCTTTACTCATTTTGTTTCTTAGGTGTTTAATTGATGCTGGGAAGAGCCATCTTTCTTTATAGAAATAAATATTCTGGTCCTTAGTATGGCATTATAAATGAGGAAATTAAAATTCTGTCATTTCATTAATTTACTGTTAAAATGGTATATATGTAAATCTGATCACCTGAGCTGCGGTATCTCATTTGGAGGAAGAGATGAAATCTATAAAGCCAAGGGTCAAGTCTTGGAGTGGTAGTTAGCCTCCTGAGACAAAATTACTAGAAGAAACAGAATTTGAAGAAGCTAATATCCTCCCTTGATATTCTGAGTTACAATATTTTTTTTATAGAAGGATTTCTACCAAAAATTGAAAGTTAGTAAAGATCAATTATTAGTGATGAATTCTTCTTCTTTACATGTGTCTGTACCTAGGCTGGTGAATGTGGAATCAGGCTTTCTGTTGTGAACTTTTGAAAAAGTAATGCCCAAATCTTAGGCTACATTGTTGTCAGTGAAACATTTTTAGATGAAAACCTTAATCACAACCTTTCAAAACAGCACTCAAGACTTTAACTTGTCTATCCTCAGAACATAAACAGTTGTACAATCTAAGCTGAGGGCTTATCCAATTCAGTCTCTGAACTTAATATACCTCATATGTGAAAAAATTCATTTGTTTACGTGGCGAAAGAGTAGAGCAACCTAATACGAAATTATAGAATGGAAACCTTGTAATAGCCTTGGCTTTATACTCCAACATCTTGGCATGAGGTCAGCTTTGCTTATTATGATTGGCACAGGTGGTGGACTGGCAAGTTAGGCTAGTGAGGCTGGAGTAAATCTAGCTGTTTACATCATTAAATTTTGAATGATGGCGTATTTTTACTTTTTTCTGCCAACTTTACCTTTGATAAATAATTCTCAGGATCAATAATTTGTTAGCTGTGACAATCAGGAATGAATCCAGGGAAACTAATTCCATATTATTTATTTTACACCAAATTCTCAAGCTCTCCTAGGGGGACTTTGAGATATTAGTGTGTATTAAAAGCAAAAACTGAATACAGTAGATTTCCAGTGAGCACTGAGTTCACTCCAAAAGCTTATATAAATGTTCTCATTAAGTTGTAGCTCTACAGTGCTATTAGAAAACTGTTTTAATTAATTCCAAGGCAACCTTTCCAATGGTTGGCATATCTAGTCCCAAGCTCACGCCTTAAGGTCAATTTTACACCTTTAAAAACATAATTAAAAAGATAAAATAAACTTCCCCCATCCCCTACTCCAAAAATCATTAATTAAAACAATGAGTCCCATAGCAACTTTGGATCAGACTGGTACCCCAAGGTGAGTTTAACAAAACAGAGAACTGAAAAATGCCCCAAATTTCATAAATCTAACTGGAAAAGAATTGCTGGCTTTAAAATTAGATAAACGGAGGTTTGAATCCTAGCCCTACTACTTTTTGGCTGTGTGATTTTGGAAAAATTACTTATCTTCTCCGAGTCTCAGTTTCCACCTCCCAGTGTTGTTCTGAGTCTAAGTACAAGAGAGTATGAAATTGCCTAATAAAGAGCATGGCATAATGTAGATATTTTATTTTGTTTACTGTCAGTTCATCCCCATGATAATCTGATTTGCTTGAGGACAGAGATTTTCATCTTTCTGGTTAAATGCAGTAACAGAATGCCATGAACATTCTGCGACATTGGAATGCTCAGTATTTGTTGAACAGACTAAGTCTCAGTTTCTTCATTACTAAAATGGAAAGAGGAAAGAATTTGCTGCCTATATTCTAGTTTAAAGTTATATCATAATTATCTTTTTCCTATTATGGGTAATTTATTTCCAAAGTTTTAGGATGTTTGTGTACATGTGCATATTTTGTGACATAAACTTTTAAATTGTATTTCAGATGATTACTTAAATATAAATTATTTTGTGTAGAATTATTGCATCAAAATTAAGCAATATTTTAAAGCTCTTAATACATGCAACAAAACATATATCCAAAAATATTGTATCGATTTATGCCTTCAAAATAGTGCATGAGAATATCTAACCACACTCTCATCAGAAATGAGTATTATCATTAAAAAACTTTGCTAATGTTAAAGACAATTTAATTTCATTGTCTCTAGCTATCTTTGATTATATAAAATAACACTACAGTCTTACAAAGAAGTTATCTGAGCTAACTCAGGAGTTTTGACCACTAGTAATTAAAAAAGTCCTAATTATCTGATCAGTGTTCAGTAAGCAGTGTCTGAATAGGTGAGTGCATTAAATACTATACACCCAGCATGGAGTCCTATGTCAGTAACTTTAAAACACTAGATTTTTCATACGTAATCTTTTCAAATTAGATTAGATTTTAAATTAGATTTCAAATTTCAAATTTCAAATTCTATGTATTATGAGTATTATGTATCGTATTATACTCATAATACTTTATGAGTATTTCTCATAAAGATGGCGTATGAGAAGTACTATAATAGGAATTAAACAACATGCTATGGGAGAAAGGAAAGGCCTAGGAGGATGGAAATATGGGCTTTAATCTGGATCTTGAAATAAGATCACAGTGGTAAACATGTTCACTAGTGGAGAAAAGAACTTCCTTGAAAGATAAAACAAAGATGTCAGATTAGGAGAAAGTTATGAAAGATTCAATTATTAGACTGAATATATATGTTTTTTATAAGCAATGAATAACCATCAAAGTTATGTCATCACCATGTGGACTTTATCATTGATGGTTTTCCAACACTAACTCTGGCAACAGTGTATAGGAAGATGCAGGGCAAATAATTGTTAAGGAGAGAGCCTGAATATGAAGACCATACAGAGGAGATGGATTTAACTTTCTAACTAAAGTTAAAAAAGTCTTTTCTATCTTAAAACAACCCTCCCTTTATTCATGAGACAATATTAAAAAAGAGGCTACTGGAGATTAATAGCTGCCCTTAATCTGCAAGGTTATTTATGAGCAATATGCAAATATTTAATTCTTATATCATTTTGCTGTAAAGATAAAGGGTATCCTGAATTTGCACCTGAATCAGAGTATGGAAAATACATGATTTTAGGCTTTCTATCACAACCTTTATATTTTCTGACGAATTATAGCTTGTCCTGAGAATTCTATTTTCTCCTTTGGTAACAACAACAACAGAAAATCTTTAAAACCTCACAAACATGTAGTTTATAGCATTTATATAAGAAGTCATGTGGAGTACTTTCTTAGATTTTACCATTCATGTCATAAAAATAACTTTTAATAAAATCTCCTAAATTTCCATGTTCAAAATCCTTATCATTTTTTCCTACTCTTTCTCTATATCTTGTCAAAGTAGATTTTATGTATTCAACTGTCTGTGTAGTTAAAAGCATATAATTAAGGAGGAATAAATTTCAACAACTTGTGATTTTTAGGGGAAATCATTTTTAAGCAAGTTTACTGTACATGACTGTATAAACATAAAAGTAGGATACATGCTGCTCTACAAAAACATATTTTGTTAGCTTGTCGGGTGGCCACACAGGTTGGCCCGCCTTAAGTGACTGGAAAAGAAAGCCTTCTTGTTTTGAACAGATCTGCATCGGTTTGGGGTAACAGAATCATTAGTAGTACTAAAAAACAGAATAGGCTTTACAATTCATCACCTAACTTGATTTCAAGTTTTCTCTGCTCTTCGATTTTAATCTCTTGGGAGGGTACCTTTCTTTTCGCTGATATCCAAGTCCCTTACCCTCCAAGAGATGTGAATAAGGATATTTCTGTACTGCCTTTCAAATAAGGATTCCCGTGAGTCTCATGTGAAGTACTCATAGGCATCTTTCATAGCACAGGAAATGCAAGCCAATGGAGAGGCTAAGGAAATTGCTCAAGGACATTCGGCAAGTTGGAGTCAAAGCCAGGAACAGTCAACAGGCCTTATCCCTCCAAGTCCTTGGCCCAACTCCCAGATTTCGGGTCCTTTCTGACGGTGAGAGAGCAAGCCATGCAGGCATCATTCACTTCAATTAATCTTGCTGCTTAAGAAAATAAGTGCATGACAGCAGGCTTTAAAAGGAAGCATGTTGTACACCTGAGAATAATATAATGTCGTATGTCAATTTTACCTCAATAAAATAAAAAACAAATAAACAAACAAAAAAGGAAAATACAGCCCAGAGCAGAAGGTCCTATTAAACCTGAATTTAATTCTTACCCTTCTGTAATCTCTTCTCCTGCTCTCAACAGTCTGTTAAAGGAACAAAAGGTAAAAAGTTAGATCAAGGGATAACTTAAAATGGTACGGGTGGGATGGCAGTAGTAGTACTATTATTGCATCAATGCAGTATTATTACTGCATCGGTATTATTATTTACTTTATTCAACTCAGTTCAATACATACACCTGAAATATTTACCGTGTCCCAGGAACTGAGTGCAAGTGGCAAACAGGATTTAGACATTGTCTCTATCTTTTAGGAGGTAACAATCTATCAGGGGAGACAGACGTATAAACACATACGAGCCAATAAAGTCTACGGAGTGCTAATATCAAGGAGTGCATAGAGAACTATAGAAACTCCAAGAAGGGGTTCAGAATTTAAAATAAGCTGTGAGTTCAGGGAATGCTCTCTTAAGAAAGGGATGCTTGGATTGAATTTTGAAGGATTCTAGTGTTGTCCAAAGAAGAAGTCAGAAGGGAATCACAAGAAAAAGGAATAATATTCATGAATGCAAAGAGATGTGAATTACAAATTTTATGCAGGGAACTATAGTTGAATAATCTGAGCCTGTAGAGAAATGGAGTTGTGAGAGCTGAAACTGCAGAGGTAGGAAAAAAGTACAATAGACTTCGTATGATATGCTAAAGATCTTGCTAAAATCCTTTTAGGAATGGGAGCCAGAGGAGGCTTTGAACAGTCACGCAGTATGATTTTCTTGTTAAGTAGCTTATCCTGGCTGCAGAGTATAAGATGAGCTTAAAGAGGGCAAAATTAAGTGCATAAGGCTCTTGTCCAGAAACAGCTGATGAGGCAATGACTAAGAAAATAGTAACCAGAGTGGTGAGGAGGAGATAGATTAAAAAGAGAAATAAAGGAATCTAGACGCAGACCTTACACTTTTCACAAGAATGAAATCAAAATGGTTCATAGACCTAAACGTAAAACACAAAACTGTAAAACTCCTAGAAAATAACAGAGGAGAAAATCTAGGTGACCTTGGGTATGGTGACAACTTTTTGGATACATCAACAAACGCATAACCCATGAGAGAATGAACTGATAAACTGGACTTCATTAAAATTAAAAACTTCTGCTCTGTGAAAGACAATGTCAAGAGAATGAGAAGATAAGCCACAGATGGGGCAAAAATATTTGCAAAAGACACATTTGGTAAAGAACTGTTATCCAAAATATACAAAGAACACTTAAAAACTAGTGATAAGAAAATGGACAACCTGAGTAAAAAATGGACCAAAGATCTGAACAGATACCTCCCCAAAGAAGATATACAGATGACAGTTAAGCATCGTATGTCATCAGGGAATTGCAAATTAAAACAGCAATGAGATACCACTACACACCTATTAGAAAGGCCAAAATCCAGAACACTGACACCACCAAATGCTGATGAGGATATGGAGCAACAGGAACTCTCATTCATTGTGGGTGAGAATGCAAAATGGTACAGTCACTTTGGAAGACAGTTTGGTGGTTTCTTATAAAACTATCACATTCTTACCAGACAATCAACAATTGTGTTCCCTGGCATTTACCTAAAGGAGTTGAAAACTTACATCCACACAAAAATCTGCACAGATGTTTATAACACCTTTATTCATAATTGCCAGAACTTGGAAGCAGTCAATATGTCCTTCAGTAGGTGAATGGATAAATAAACTATGGTACATACAGACAATGGAATATTATGCAATGCTAACAAGAAATGAGCTATCAAGCCATGAAAAGACATGGAGAAAACTTAAATGCATATTACTAAGTGAAAATGGCCAATCAGGAGAGCCTACATACTGTATGATTCCAACTATATGACATTCCGGAAAAAGCAAAACTATGGCAACAGTAAAAAGATCAGTGGTTTCCAGAGATCAGTGAGGAAGGAGACATGAATAGGTACAGCTCAGAAGATTTTTAGGTCAATGAAACTATTCTGTATGATACTACAATGGTGGATACGTGATATTATACATTTGTCAAAACCCATAGAATTTACAACACCAAAAGTGAACCTTAATGTAAACTATAAACTGGGTTGTAAGAATGTGTCAAGGGAGTTTCATGGACTGTAACAAATATAGCACCGTGGTGCAGGATGCCAATAGTGGGGGAGATGGGGCGGGGGGGGGGGAGGGAAACAGGGTAATGGGAATTCCCTGTACTTTCCACTCGATTTTTCTGTGAAGCTAGAACTTCTTTAAAAATAAAGTGTATTAATTAAAAAAAGAAATACATCATAAGAGTGTGGTGATTGGTTGGCTATGGAGTGTGAGGAAAAGCGAGGAATCTCAAGGTTTCTGACTTGGATAACTGCATAGACTATGGTGCTCCCAACTTTACTCAAGAATATAGGAATCAATATTTTGTGGGAGATGGCAAATTAAATTGGGATTTTGGGGGACACACCATTCTTTAGTTAGCTCAAGACATGACTCTGAGCCTCAGAAAATATGTCAGAGCTGGAAATATTTCAAACTTCTAAGTATATCTATCAATGGCAGTTAAAATCTTGATAACAGAAGAAATAAGCCAAGAAACGGGACTGAGGAAGAATAATAGCGAACCAGGAATGAATCTTGAGATACATCTGAGATTAAGATTATGACAGAAAAAGAAAGAAACAAGACACAAAGAGGGAATAGTGAGAGAAGAAGGTATGTAAATTAAATAGTTGCTTAAATAACATAATAATGTTTGTCTAGTAATTTATTTTTTCCAAAGAATTTTCTTATCAGAAATTTTACTTGGTTCTCAAACTGAATTGAATAGGAGAGGTAGGATG